GAGCACCACTCCAAGATTCCCTATGTGGGATCTTTCATTTTGAAAGCATTTTCCTCTCGTTAAGTCTTAAGTTAACCAACATGCCTTAATATCATATTGCATTCTCAACATGCATACCTCACCATACATTAATTATACACATCACTTTTAGTCAATGCATATAGAGATCAACAACAACATCATCCATACGTGGCATATCAATGCTCTAAAAAATCATACATCATACATATGTATAACACAAATATACTCCCATTCAACACCATACAAACATCTATATATGCTTAGGGATGGCAACAAAGGGGTGGATATAGGTTTTTCTACACCTGTCCTTGTTCTTATACCTTATTCTCATTCTTGTCCCCATACCTAACAGGTATGAAATTTGTGTCTCCCCGTACCCGCCAGGTATTGGATATATCCATACTCATCTCGTACTCGTAAAAAAATTAATTAAATATATTTTTATAAAAAATTATAAAAAATAAGAATTTTAACAAAATAATAATTATAAGTTACATAAATTAAATTTTATTTGACATAAATTAAAAATAGAGTAAGAAATTATATAAATGTTAAGTAAAATCTAAAAAAATAAATTAAATATTTATACATTTTAAACGGGTAAGAGTATGGGTATAGATATGGGCAGGTATCTATATAATCATCCCCTTCCCCGTACTTGGTTTAATGAATTGGATATTATTCATACTGTACCCGTACTTGTACTTGATCAAATCAGTTATTCCTGTCAAAGTCGGGACAAGTTCAAACATTAGCCACATGTATGAGTTTACTTGTCATTCCTACATATGTCATATCCAATCAACATATACAGAACAATCATCATACGTCATACAATCATCTATATATGTAATATTCAATCAACATATAAAGAACAATCTCCATACATCCATGCAACATGCAATAGAATAACATAATCTACTTATGTTCATCATACAAGTTCACCAAAATACCAATATATCATTCAAGCATCCTACATCTGGCTCAACATACTTTGCACCCAACACCATTGAAACATGGAGCTCTCTGCCTCACTCACGTTTGACACCATCCAAATTGTGCCTGGCATAATCAATGTGGAGATCCCCCATGACCTCATGCCCAATGTGGCAAAACCCACGTTCCAGTCTCATCCCAGGTAAAAAGTATTTGCTTGACTCACGCATAACGTCACCTCAACAACATCTGACATCATTGAGCCAAAGACTTTCCACACTCTCATGCTTGGTGCCATTCAAATAGTGTTCAACATAATCCCAATCTGAGACGAGTCTCTCTCCTCACGTCCAATGCCATTGATCTTACGCCCGATGTAATCGACATAAAACCTTTTAGTTGATAATGGGCACAGAGCCACAAAGGCACGCTTGAAGTGATTGTGATTTTTACACAACATAGATAACTAAAATTTCCCCAAATACCTGAAAATCAAAAAACCACCAACATGATTGCAACAAGCCATTTATATACATCATATACAACACATTTGCAACAAAAAAAAAGTAACACATGCAAAGACAAATTAAGCAAATAACCAAATTTACCTCCATGAACTCAAACCCTTGAGCTCAACATGTCCCACCCCAAATTCAAGCAATTTCAGCATTCAAACCACAATCTTTTTAGTATATTCAACTCAACCATCCATTAGAATCCCCCCTAATTTCTTTTACCTTAATTTTGCACTCTCAAAATCAAAGAAGAGGAAGAAGGAGAATCCAAGCTTCAAAGCTCCACACTCGAACAAACACAACATTACCACTAATCCAAGGTTCCCAATGCTCAATAACACTTCCAAGAGCTTCCAACAACAACATCCCTTCTAAGAATGTTGTGAACTTGAGTAAAAAGAGAAGAACAAGACTTTAAAATCTCAACTTCAGTTTCTCCCTATTAGTTCACCCCGACAAAGTATCTTAACTTTCAATGTTATAAATTAAATATTAATATTTTAAAATAAATTTTTAACAAAAAAATATTTTTTTTGTTACAATAAAAATTATTTATCATAAATTTAAAAATATAATTTATATTTTAAAAATATTTATATATACTAATTTTAAATATATATATATATATATAATATTTAATATTTATTATATAGAAATCGTCGTCGCTTTGATATTGCGATCTTTCATAAGATAATTTTTCAAAATCGTCGCAAAATTATTCAACATTGCGACGGTTTATCGTAAACCGTCGCAAAATTTGTTTAACATTGCGACAATTAATCATAAACTGTCGCAAATTTTTTTAACATTACGACAGTTAGTCATAAACCATCGCAAACTTTTCAGCATTGCGACGGTTTACCGTAAACCGTCACAATCTACAAGACAATTTTTTTTTATTAAAACTTAAAAGTTTTTTTTAAGTATTATGTATATTATCTTAATGAACTTATATTTTATGAACAATTTTATATATACTTCTTTTAACATGAGGTACACGATTTTTTTTTCTTTATATAATTTGAAAAGCGTGACTAGAATATAAATTTATCTTTAAACAAACTTATGAATTTATCTTGTATGTAAGATGTGTTAGAGTATATAAATAAATATAATTATCATTTTATAACTTAATTTTTTAGTTATCAAATCATATATTATTGAATAATTTACAATGTTAAATTTTATAAATTTTATTTTAAATGTCCATCTTTTTAACACTATTAAAAATATAAAAATAAATATGTTAAATTTTATAAAAATCCAGTTTAATTTATTTATGATATAAATATGTTTTTAATATCTAATATATATTTTTAGATGATAATTTATTTTAATTTATATCTTATAATAACAATTCTAAATGGAACATAAATCTTCTGATTTTTCTTATTTTGATTTTTTTAATCAATATATACAATTTTACTATTTTGATTTTTTCAATCAACGTATACAATAAATAAAAAACACAAAAGATAAACATGCATGGTA